TGGAGGTGACAACATTTGCTAATTACACAAAAGACATTATTACCATCATTACTATCATTATTTAGAAAAACAAATCCATTCTTTCTTTAGAAAACTAGAAACAAAGAGAGTGTAGTCAGCAAATGCAGTCAAGCACAAGGAAGAAAATCATGTATTCCATGGCTCCACATAATGGCTCCAGCCCAGTGACTGACATTAAAAAATGAAGGCTGGGAGCCACTGGGCATCACTTCATAAGAATAAATACCTGCTGAAGAGTCAGCAGTGGCTGAAAAGGCAAAGAGAAATTCAGGAAATTTTAGAAAAGCAACACAGGACAATAGAGAACACACTATCAATCTCTATTTCAAACCACACCACGTGCAGTTTTGCTCTCTCTCATTCAAAGATACAGCAGGTGAAGGGAAAGGGGAAAGCAAGACATAGATCATGGGTATTTTCAGAAATTATCCAAACATAACCACTGTGACTTACCACAAGAAGTATTTTGCTGAAATGAGTTCAATTCTAGATACAATGTGCAAATGTAGGGATAAGGCACAAGATGGACATTCTCATGTTTAAATTTCATCTTTGATACTCTCTCCCATTTACTCAAATCTGAGAACAGTGATAAGGCTTAAAACCACAGCACTAACATTTCAAAGGAGCAGGAGTCCTGACAATGCCTTCAAAAACCACATCGTGCTGCACATGTGCACCAGGGAACAAACCCAACCTGCCACTAGGAACTTCATGAAAAAGCACTTTATGAAGAAACACTCACCCAGGAGATGCTGCCCCATCAGTCACCTGCACTAAGAGTGTTCTGTTCCCTTAACTGTACTGCCCTCCTGACACCCTTCTGCCAAAAAACCAACATGCCAGGCTCTTCCAACCCTATGAATAAAACCTCAGCAGCCTTCCTAACTAAAAAGTAATTCTTTTAAAAATGTATTTAAAAATTGAAAAGGACTAGGACTCATAGGAGCAGCATGATTAAATTTAGTTCTCAGTTCAAAATGGGGGGGAAAAAAGATAATTGACATGGCAACCACCGAAGTTAGAGCCATTCCTTCTCCTGGGTGCAGCTCTGACATGGCTAAATTCTGTCCAGGTGCACAAGCCAGAAGAAGAAGATGAAGGCCAGCCAGGCCCTTGGTGCACTCTGATGAAAAAACACCTAGAAGGTGGAGGAGCCTGTAGTTGTGCAACAGCACAGAGCTTTTACAGCACTGCCTGTGTACAGCAGGCCAGACTGACAGCAGCTAAAGGTCTCTGCAGACTTCAGGGAAGAAGGAAAAGATCTGCTGACTGCTCCCACAGGAGCAAGGGGGATGAGCAGAATAAGGTGAATACTGGGTGGATGACACTGAAGGGGGGACCAGGATAACCGGATGACAATCCTGCAGGCTTTGGGTATTCAAAAGCCTGGCTGAACTTCCAATTATCTCAGCTTAACTACTGCTCCTGCTAAAGCTCACTCTCTGAGGTGCTTTTTGCTTCTCTCAGCCACCTCTGCAGATACCTGAGCACAGAGTCACACTTGCTCCCACCTCCATCCCCAAAAGCTCACGGGTGTGGTTTAGCCTCAAGGAACCACACAAAAACAGCACTGCAGGCTTCCCCACCCACGGACCAGCACTGCAAAACCTGTAAGGAGAGCTTTACATTTTATGAACCTCTGGGAATAACGCTCTGGCTGTGCTTGCAGTGGCAGGAGGGTGGACTTCTGGGCATGCCTTCATTTTCTCTGGCCAAATCTGATTTGGAATGCAGGGGTGTTCTGATGGAAACGCTGCAAAACACTGTCTTCACATCAGTTCTCTGTTGAAGGCAACATCTGAGAAGGATCTTCAGCCAATGTCAAACAGCAAAGCTTGAAGGATTCCTACTCCAGCTAAAGATCTACACACGAATGTTGAATTAGGCAATGCCCAACACACACAGGCGATTGAATCTTTTCTTTTATAAACAGCAAAAAAAGGATACATGGAAACACAGTGAAGTGATCTGTAGAAAATGGATGTAAGTCATCAAGATTTCCAAGGATTACTCGAATCACTTCCTGGGGAGGCCCCCAAAAAAAACCAAAACAAGGAAGAATATTAAAAACATCGCAGCAATTCCAGTGTCAAGTACAGTTTCAAGGCTTGGGAAAAATTAACTTTACTGTTTGCATGAATCATGGAAAAGCAGGTTCTAGATACTCTGCTTTTCCTCCTCTCCTTCTTCTCTCTGCTCCCTCTGATCATCTTAGAGCGTCCTGCACTGACAGACTCGCAGAAATCAAAGGAATATCTTAATCATAAATTAATATAGAAGAATTACTACGGAGAGTGAAGATATGGTTTCAAATTTAATAAGTTTTAAATTTAAGAAGTGTCCTTTTTTTTTTCCAGCAAAACACATGTAGCATTTACTTGTGCAAAAATAAACATATTCCTCTTTTGCTAAATATTGACCCAAATCAGTTACAAGGGAACAGCAGTTAAGCCCCAAAAAACTCCTGCTGTACTAGCAGGAAAGTTTTTCTATTAATACCTTTCAATATTTTCAAAAATGAAAAAAAAAAATTATAATTCTTCATATCAATTAAAATCAAAACATTTTCTCCAGTAATATGTTTAATGCTATTACTATACTCTGAAGATTTTAAAAAATTAAGTAATAGGAAGGAGCATTTTTAGGAAGGCACTTTATTTGTCTCATTTTCTCAGGAATGGCAGGAGCTTTCTTCTGCCTCAGGAAGCAGATAACACAAAGCATTGGCATCATTAAAAGTGCTCCTGCAGGAATGACTGTGAAGAGGAATCAGACAGGAACAGGGTGCAACTAGTTTGACAATCAGGAGTTTCCATTTGTCCAGTTTTAACAGTCAGTAGCTTCTTTGCAATATTTGAAATAAAAGCATGACTCCTCTACACCAAGTTTGCCTATTGAGGGCATTTTTAATTTACATCTGAACTCTGAACTCTCCAGAGAAGTTCCCTATTATTCGCCCTTGAGATGTTGCATTTGACAAAATGTTCCCTGTCCCATAACAAACATAAGACTTGTTCAACCTAACACCCATCCAAGGTCCTGTGGACCTGCCTCAGCTCCTACCTCTGACTCCTTGGCAGCACTTTCAGCAAGACTGAGATCAGGAGCGCTGTGAAACAAGCAGAGTTGGAACCATCCCAGTCAAAAAGCAATGGAGCAACACTTGATAAAAGAGTTTAAACAGCAACAAAACATCATTCCCACTGCATAGGAAAAAACACTGGGCAGGCAGATGAATTCTTAATCTATTATTCTTAAAAAACATCCACCATTGCACAAAGATTGCTCCTCGTGAACTTTCTGCCCATTTGTGTGTTGTGTATCTGTGGATACAACGGATGAGAGATCAGATCTTTACAGCTGAGCCCCAGTTACCCTCAGGATTGGGGTTTTTTGACACAGTGCCCTCAAACCATGCCCTGTCTTTATCGTGGTGCCATTCTGTTTAAGGGACTAAAAGGAGGAACTGGCAGGACATGTCTGTTAATTCCCTTCTGTGCAAACCCACAGCACCAGCATTAGCCCTGGAATGCTGGGAGTCGTGTGCTGCCTACATCAAACTGTTCCCAAATACTAACTACTCAGAAGCTGTTTGCTGCCAGGTATCAGCCAACAATCTAATGTACAGGAAAAGGGCTGGTCTTAAAGAAAATCTGAACTCATTAAAAAAGTAAACAAACCACATAAAGGTCACTTAAAAATAAGCCAATAAAGTGGAGCGCAAGGAATCCAAGGTGGGCAAGGAATCCCAGGCACACAAGTATTCCCTGGTTTATGGTCTGGCAGGCAGCCATGATCACACCTTCCCCACCGAGGGGCCCCAGCCAGAACACGGGCAGAGATGAGAACTCCCCTCCCTCTTCTGAAAGGCACACGGATAACAGCAAACAGCCCAGGAAGTAAGGACATACACTGAGTATGGAGCTCCAAGGCTGTGCTGCTTTTGACTGGGATAGAAGTCAATTTTCTCGACAGCTTGCATTTGTGCTGAAAACAGCGTTGCTAACACAGAGATGTTTTACTTACTGCTGAGCAGTACTTACCCAGCGTCAGGGCTTTTCTGCTCCTCACAGCGAGCAGGCTGAGGGTGCACACGAGGTCGGGAGAGAACAAGGATGGGGGGGGATAACCCCGACCGACCCAAGTGATATTCCAGACCCGAGGATGTCACGCTCAGGAACAAAACACAGGGCAGAAAAAGGCAGGGGGGGAAGTTTGGCATCGAGGCAGATGTCTTCCCAAGTAACCATTTTGCCCGACAAGAGACCTGCGTTTCTGGAGATTAAACACCTGCCTGCCCATGGGAAGCAGTGAATGAACTCAGAACTTTATTCTGCTTTGCTTGCATGTGTATCTTTCGCTTTACTTATTCAACTGCCTTTATCTTAACCCACCGGTTTTACTTCTACCTTTCCAGTTCTCTCCCTCACTCCACTCAACTGCCAGCTGGGCTTAAACCACCACAAAGGCTCTGGAGTTTCTCAGTTACATCCTTAAATACTGCCTGTAAAAACCTCCTCTTTTCCACTGAAGCAAGAAATTCACACAGGGCAATGAAACAGGAGTGGTTTTTTTACAGCTTGGATTACTCTCTCAGCGTGTGAATCAGCAGCAACTTTTCAATGGCCAGTGGAAAAAAGGAAGGAAATGAGGAGGCCCCCCCCAGATCTGAATTTAAGGTCCCATATTAACTCAACGATCCGCAGTTTGACTTCTCACCTTTAACATACTTACCTGCTAAAGTTGCCATAGCGGATTTTAAATTTGTACACGAGCCTGCCAGCGTGAAGGAACCTTGTTTCGGGCAGTGGATAGGTGAACGGCTTCAGCGACATCCTCCCCCTCTCCTTCCCTGAATGCCAGGCTACGGGAAGCAGGACAGCCAAAGGTTAATTCCTAAAATCCTTTCACGGCGTCTCGTTCTGTCATACGAAAAGATTACACGCTGGGGCAATGCCGGAGCTGCCAGACGGGAGATGATGATGACGGTGATGATGATGATGATGATGCCGCCGCCTCCCCAGCGCTGGGGGCGGCCTGAAGGGCCTCCGAACAACCCCAGTGCCGCCGGTGCTCCGACGGAGGACAGGCACCTCCTCACGGACACCGACCCCACCCCTCCCACCGGCCCCGCCGCGCCCTCGCCTCACACGGGGCCGAGGCTGAGGGCGGAGCGGAGTAAGCGCAGCCGACCCGAGGCGAGCCCGGCCGAACCGAACCGAGCCCGGCCGAACCGAACCGAGCCCGGCCGAACCGAACCGAGCCCG